CTAACGCTGGCAACTATATATAACTTTGTATCATTTTGGGCTTACACTCCAAAATGCCTTTTATCTGTACCACATTATTTCAGGCAAACTTAAATTTTGTGAAAATTTTTGTCCATTGATAAGCTGATGAAAATGTCATAAATTTTTTTATTCTCAAAAAAAAATAGGAATGGCTAGGCTGAAATTTTTTACCATTTCAAGCAGCGAATGGCCATAAAAAAGGATGGATGCTAGAGACACCCCTGTGACATACCCATGTCTGTTCAACTTGAATTCACCTGGCCCATCTGTAAGAGTTTATCTGTCATGTCTGTCCGTGGATTCCTTCTGTAACCTCCGCTGTCCTCAAGACAAGGATCCTTCAGGTTACGATACATCACAGCTTAGGCCACACCAATTTAATTTCTTGGTTAACGGATTCACCGCTTCATTTTTTTCTGATTTGCAAATAAAAATAAAAATTCTGAATCAACTGCAAAATGCTCATATTTTGCCCTGAACAGTTGAAAACAGTCATTTTCTTACTACTTGTAACAGTCATTCCATCTTTCAATGCAGTAGTATCATTAAAAGTTCAAAATAGTTCAAAATTCATTGTTTAAATTTTGAACCAGCCTGGTGAGTTGACTTCATGGCTCCTGTCGTAGCATTTGGGGCTATAATAGGATGCTTAGGCCTGTTTTTATTTTTTTTTCGCCCACCCGCTCCATTATTTTTATAGAAAAATCCATTAACCAAGAAATTAAATTGGTGTGGCCTTACCTTCACGCTCCAAAAGGCAAAGGTAAAACTGCCCCTCCCCCCACAAGAAATCAAGTTACATAAACCTTGCTATGATCAGATACAACTTTATCCACATCATAACTTAAAACAGCACACAGATCGAAATTTGGCAGCAAATGCCTTGATATCACATCTTATCATAATTGAGTCCACCTTTATCAGAAGAGCCATTACCAAGATAAGAGATATCTTACTTGTTGCACACATTTTGCGGTCAATTTAGCAAATACCGGTAGTAATTCTAAAAGTTGCCTGCTAGTTCCAGGGTCTTGAAACCAGTGACAAGTGTGTGCGGAAAGTGCAATTAAATTAAAGATGAAGCTCGGGAGGAAATATAGCTCATTAAGGATGTCAGCGTGACTTCTTGAAGCATTGATCTCTTTCGTGTGCAAATACATGTTGCCTGAGGTCTCGTGTATATCAAAGAATACTTAAAAAAATTGGGGATTTTCTAGTGTGGTAAAAATCTCCCTTTTCCTCCCTTAAGCTTAAAATGCCTACATGTAATTTTCTTTTTGAGGGCCCGGAGGCAACATTAACCGTGTTGTAGAAAATTAGTCTGGGAATTTTACAAGCGGGCAGACCTGGGAAAACGTAACGAGGGATCCAGCCAGGTTTTGATGGAGGTTCAGTTATCATCCTTGGCAGGATTAGGCCACAGCAGGTAAGTTCTATGGATGACATCCATGCATGTGTGCATTGATTTTTCCCCAATTTAAAACAAAAAAAGAAGAAATTTTGTTCCCTCTTGCAGGCTCATGACAAGAAAATCTGGAAATGGGAAAATGTTTGGTAGCCTTGAGCATACTTGTAGTTGTAGGAGTGACACTTAGTAATACTAGGTTGCCACACTAGTACAATGTAGTGTCACTTTCTGTACTTTTTGAAAACAGGTGGATTAAAAACTAAAAGATTTGTTGGCTGTTTTGTTGCATGTTTATGGTCTACATTTTAAAAAATTTTGGCATCTTGGTTTAATTTGCACATCTTGTTTTTTGTACTATCTCATTAGATTTAGAGTCTTGAGATGATGTTGTCCATAAAATTTACTTACTAAAGCCTTACCGTTAATCAGTGGGCGTCAGCATGACGAATGTCACGATCATAAGGGCCAATCCACCCTGAGAGACACAACCTGACTAAAACCAATTATGCCCTGTACACGTTCTTATCTTCTGCACCAAATGAAGTTAAACAACCTGGTCACGAACTACGCTATCATGGCCGGGCAAGGGAGCAGAGATTGTATCTCAATCCAGTTAGCTTGATTACTGAAACAAGACGGACTGATGGTCTTTACAGTTAAAGTACAAGAAAGACTGGTACATTTATAAAAGTATAATAGCCTGAACTTTTTTTGCCAGGAAAATTGCAATTCGTTTTCATTCCTGAAGAAGGAAAAGATGGCAGATATCAGAATTCAAGGGACTTTCAGATGTGCTGGCACCGGAGTGTTGCCACGGGCAACAACACATCAGCATCCTCTTTTCATCCTTCCTAGTTTACATGTTTTGCACATCCTTACTTCTAATTCTGGGCAGCGCCTCTGTAATTTGGCAGAGATGGAGGAACTCCTTCGTGACTGTCTGCCTTTGTGTCGCTGAAGAATTAGATTTTCAAAGCTTACCAGCAAGGTCACCTTTGTAGGCCCGGAACTTCGCATGGAATTTTTCTGAAGTCAATAAGCGAGCTGCCCCCAATCCACAACTTCAAGGTGATTTCTCTCAGGAAGCCCAGTTCTTTGAAGTTTTCATGAAGCTTGCATGCATACACACAATATCAAACCTTCTATTATAAAGTCAACTCTCATCATCCCAAAAGTATCCTAACACTGACAAGTACAGTGTTATGGATGCTTTCTCAATGTCTTACTTCATACTTCAGGGATTTTGACATCTTGAAGATGTACACTTGACCTTTGAAATAAATACATGTATTGAAGGTCAGGAGTTTTTTTATGAATAGATGGTCTAGATAAGGAGCTATTAAAATCCCCTCTGCTTCTTCCTTACTCCCTCCTCCATGACCAACACAACATCATTCCCCTTCCCAAAGCCCTTAGCTTGGCAACCTGAGATTACAGTAGAGTTGATTAAGGGGAAAGAACAGAAATGATCAAGGGGGTGTTGGAATTAGAAAAAAATCAGTAGACATTTCTGCATATTACCTCGGTAGTAATTGTAAGCTAGAGGAGATGGAAAAAACTGCATTCATATTGAATAAAGAGACTCAGCCAAGTGTTTTATTTAGCCGACATTTCGGTGACTGCCTGTTACCTTCCTCAGGGCAATTCTGACTGGTTCACATTGCAGAGAAAAAAGAGTCTCTTACCAACCTGATGAAACATCTTTGCTGCATTCACATTTATTGCACTCTCCCTGAGTCCCTATAATCATTACTGAACCTTCCCTACATGATTCCTGAATACTTGTATCTCTCAAATATGTAACGTTACATTATGAGTGTGCCAGCAGTTGCATTAACCCTTTTTCATAAGATGACCTATACATATATACTGCAATATCACAAACCCCGCTCATCGTACTGGAAATGCACCCTTCAGTTATGCAAATGTTTCTTTTTTTTTTTAACCCTTGCTATCATAACCACACAGGCAATCTAATTATCTTTTATCAAGCATATAGCAATTTGGCAAATGGTAGATTGCTGTTACATAATTTGTTTCACGGCGATGTTATGGTAGTCCTTATGTAAAAGCCCTGCATCCTTGCACAGAGATATCTAATTTCTCTCTTGATATTTTTCATTACACCACTCTAATCAATTAACTGTTGGTCGAGAAACAACACAAGGCAGAGTTAATGACAGCTCTTTCATGTGATAAATATTTAGAGCCTGTCTGGCTAAATGTTAGCTTGTTTGTGGAGTTGTAGATGTTGCCACAGCTGTCAAAAACAAAACAGACGATAAGACCAAAGGACACTGGAATGAAATTAAAGGCTTTCCGTTCTAAAAGTGGGCTTTGTCTTTCCTTGAATCTAACTCCTATAATTCTGTTCAGAAAAATGATGTTTCAAACATGGAAAGACACAGAAAAGAAAATTAAGACAGTTATAAATTATGGCGCATAAGCTATGGCTATGAACATGCACTAATGAAAATTTATGTGTACTTGGAAGTACTTTCAATTAATAGTTAATCATGACAAATTGTACCTTAGAAGAGTTAGAATCAGTTCATTAAATTCATTGTTAATTTGACAGTGATCTTATTACTTGATGGTGAAATAGTAGACCAAGGACATTATACACTCTGCATATAATGTCCTTGCGTAGACCAAGGCATGAGATTTGAAAGTGTAAAGCTATCAAGTTGAAAAACAATATCTCAAGGACAAACAGTGATCTAGATTGTGCTGGGGATTGGGGATTTGGGAGTACATGTATGTAATATGAATACAAACTAATCTGGTAGTTTTCTGGTAAAATAACAACAATTAATAAACATGACTTTTCCACACCTTAAATGGTTGAAGAAAAGAGATTGATTGCCTTATACATCCTCTGAAATCATTTTACCAAAATTTTCCCAAATGCTGAAAAAGGTTTTAGGTCACCATGAAAATAAAACCACCACAGACATTTAAAAATTTTCCTGCATCTTTCTTACCCATTTAATTTGTTACATTGCAGAACTTTATTGATTTCTGTCAAAAAGATGCAGAGAAGCACAACAATCTACTGATGTAATCTGAAGGATTATGCCATGCGGAACTGTGATAGATCAAAGTTTATGATGGATGGATATCATAACCCAATATGGGAAATGACCCATTTTGCACTTCTTATGGTATACAAAAAGGCCACTTAAATGTGAAGTCAATGTCTTCATTGAGGTGTACAGTGATTGCTGTTATGCTGCATAAAGATTACCAGTAATATAGATTTTTAAAAAGATACTGGTAAACTAGAAAGGTTTGCAAAGCAAAGCAAATACATAATGTTTACCTTCGCGTAGGTCTGACCTGTTAATTCTTACTCGAACACTTTCATATACATGTACTGTATATGGTCAGACAGGAGTCTAAATCCCTCCTACTATAAAATTGCAACATGGTGTAACCCAACACCAGTTTCCATGGCGCCAACTGTCTGGTTTGAGGTCATTGAGCTTTTTGGTTTGGAGAAGAAGAGGAAGAGGACACTGAGCAAAAACAAGATGTTTTCCTTTGGTAAACATAAAAAAGAGAAACTCACCTAGAGCGTAAGCTCTGGAGAGATTGCCACAAGCCTGTTGGACTTCCACACTGCTCCAGCCGTTTGGGTACAACACCACACCTGCTGCTACCAGGATGGCTGCAGAAAAAAAAAAAACATGTCAGCATGTCACAGCCAACAATCATCATCTTTCTCAGATGAGTTCTACATTTGTACATATAATTATGATAAACTGGGGGAATAATAATTAATATAGGAAAATACAAACATATACATTTGTAACACTATACAATGTGTATGTGCATGTGTAGCCTTTAATAAAGTCCCATCTAAAGGGAGTACACATCTGAAAAGTGAGGTCCTTTAAATCTTAAAATATTTGCTACACAAATGGATTTATGTTAGCAGTTTCAGCACGCTGCCAGCGATACAGAATATTCTTTCAGTAATGCACTCCATGCATCCACCGCAAATCTATTAATAAGCTGCAAGCTCTTTCTTTTCCCCTGCTGCAAAATCAAGTCCCTTGGAACTTTTTTGCCAGTGACTCTGTACTGGATGGGATTTACCCTTCTTCAAATCCAATTTCTCATACCTAATACCTTTCCCTCCCTTTACCCAATTACTTCTTTCTAAATCTCATTACCAGAACTACCAGTGCCTTAATGAACGTAACGATCAGTTGCTCCATTTGCCGTCCCAGGTAGAAAGATCGCCCCACTTCGGAGGGTGTTCCCTATTAGTGAGTGTTCAATATTCATCAGTAGGATTGATTGGCATGCAGGGCTCAAAATAATTTGTTTTTGCATATACCTGGACTGGTGCAGGTAACATTGAAAATTTCCTGCACCAGACAAATTTAACCTGCACCACTCAGAAGTTTGGAAGTATGGATCATACAGAAGTTTTCACGTCAGAACCATTGCCACAACTTCATTTAAACTTCACAGGTGGTAGCAGTCAATGCAGCAAATAACAAAATCTATATACAGTACATGGACTGGTGAAGGTAGAAATACACGCACAGCTCCAATTTTACCTGCACTAACCTGCATATGCAGATGGTACTTCCCCTGAGCCCTGGCATGCAACATTACATATAGGGCATGAAATGCTGCCTGCACATGCAGGATAGTGCAGATAAAATTGTAGCTCTACAGGCATTTCTGATGCCTACCTGCACCTAACCTGCACTGGCTAATGAAGGAAAAACATACTGCAACACTATAGTGATGCATGGCCTATTATAAGTGGTCCTAAATGTGTTGCATTTTCCAGAGTTGCATATTCCTTAAATGAAATAGAACACATTCAAAACATTGTTTTTCTATAATGGACTAAATGAAACAAGTGTTGCAAGTAACACTGGTGCTGCAAGGTCTTGCACCACTCAGGGCTCGAAATTAAAGGTGGTCCAATGGCCACTGACCACTAAATTTAGCCTGCAATTATAGTGCGCCTGGGAGTGAACATAAGCAAAATAAAGTTGACTTGTGGAAGTCATATTATAATACTTCCCAAAAAACAGGTTGGGGCAGTTCATCCTCACTTCGGGACAATTGAAATTTATTTTTGAGACAGCGCTGGGACAATAGGAAGAAAAGTTAATTTCGAGGCCTGCCACTACATGATGTACAGATAGATAAATTTTGAGCCCAGCTATAATTCAATATACCAGTAGTAGCTGTGACTGATTGGCATCCCTTACACAAGGGCTACTGACTAAACCTGTCAAACACAGCTAGTGCACCTGTCAATTACACATCTTATCAGGGAGATGAAGTGGAAAACAACCTACTTCACAACCCAGAGGGGGCAATATTGTAGCAACCAGGGAAGGAAATACTGCTATAGAAACCGGGATACAGCTATGGTATTGTGTCTACACCAATAAGGCAATGTACTAATCAAACTAGAGTCTAGTAGAGAATGTGATGTACAATTTTGGTCTTTGAAATGGGAGAATTATAACGTTAACTACAGTTGTTTGATTTAAAAGAAAAATTAGTTGACAAATGGAACACAATGATAGGTGATGATTATGATGCTGATGATGAAATGAATGATAACGGAAATGGAAGGATTAAATTTTTAATGACTTCAAAGACCCTCCTGGTAGTAAATGTGCATGTATGAGTGCTGTCATTGAGTCATATAAATTCTAGCCTTACTCTTATGGGATGGAGCAAATCCCTCCATCAAGTTATGGGCGTGAGACAATCATGCGCTACCATTATGATTCCCATTCAAGATAACACCACATCACAACAAGGTCATATGCGATGATGCAGGCGCATGCAAGATTATTGGACTCCATTATCTGCAGCCATCAAAAAAGGTGGTGGAATGTTATGAGCTGCTATGCTGCCTCCAGGAGGCAATTATCATTCATGTACTTTTATACAAACTTTGTAATAGTGTATAAGAATAAAAACTTGTTCATATGCATAATGTATATCCAGTATTTATTTACATATAACGTTACATATTGTTACAAGTCACAATGCTGGTACACATGACGTACTTGAAAGTAGAGATTTAACAGGCAAGACTAATGGATATGTCAAGGTCAGAGTTGGGGGAGGGAGGACAGATTTGTGGGAGGGGGGCAACAGAGCAGAACAACACAGAGGTCACATAGAGGTCAGGGTCCTCACACTGATTCTGCCCAGTTGATGGCATAATTAGGTCAGCCAAGAATACGGGGATCTGCAGGGTCAAAGGTGAACCTCAAAGGGAATGGATATAAGCCCTTGTGGATGAAAATATGGCTCCTAGGGTATTCTACCCAACTGCAGTAATCCACCCCGGGGAGAGGGCTAACATAGCCCCTGACATTGAAGATTGTACAATGGCTAGCCTAGCGTATGTCCAAGTTTTCGTATCTGGTACAAAGATTCTAAGAAAGGCCCTGATTGGTATGACCATAAAATTCCACTTTACGTGGGGAAAAGCTGTCAACATTATGAAATTCCATGTGGACCTAACTTTACCCATGACACTAGGGTGGTAAAAAATGGGGTTTTGGGTTTATGTGGATTTGAGCAAAGAGCTTCAAACAATGAAGCTCTTTGAATTGAGGCGCCAAATTGAATGGCAGTTTGACTGGGTAGATTAAGCAGGTGATTTTCTCCGTTCAAAATAAAGATTAATGTATCAGGAGCAGGAGTTGGTCCTGTAGTCTAGCCTCCTGATTTACGCCTATAAAAATGATCCACTCGAAAAGTTTCCCAATAATAGCGTGCTTCTGTAAATTGTACAATCAATGGCCTTCTATAGTGTCATTTTCTTTCCAATAGAATCCAATTTGGAAAGAATCAATTAGGCATCAGCTGAGAGAACTGGACGCTACATATATTTGGAGGCAATTGTGAGATAAGAAGATTAGGTGTCTTTGGATTTGAATCTGACTGACAGGTCTTCACACCTTAGCTGCATCACAAAAGGGCTTTGTGGAGGACTTATTGTGTAGACACAGGTGTGAAGAGCACCCTTCAACGCCCAATAGCACAAAAACAAAGAGGAAAGTCACGCAGAAAACATGAACAGCTGGGTACTCAAGCCAGGAATTACCATAGGCCATTCCAGAATTTGTTGGCTTATCAGAGCGGTTGATGATGTTTTATTGCTCCATGCCTCATATAGCAGACTCAATATCCTGAAATTTCACACATGAAGTCCTGGTAACTAACTGGGCACAACAGTGAAATTCTTTAAGCACAGAGGGCATCAGCAGCAAAAATGAATTCTTCTCTTCTCCAATGTCTAAGACCCTGTTCATACCAGACTTATATTTAGCGGTTTCAACCGGTTTTTCAAAAACCGGTTTTTATTTAACCTGGTGTGAACGCAAATTAACCGGTTTTTTAGGGGTTTAAATCCGATTTTGAAAAACCACCTCGGGAGGTGGTTTTTGAGGGGTTTTTGAAGGGTTTTTCCACCGAAAAACCTGGTCTGAACGCTAAGGGTTTATTGAACCGGTTTTTGCGTCATAATTCCGGGGTCACGGGTCAGCATCCTGGCCGTGTGCGACCTGCAAGCTTTTTTGATCGCGTTGTTTTGACCAACTTTGAGTTCGTTTCCACTGTTTTTCCACGGTTTTTCTTCATTTTGCGATGGAATCAGCAAACGCAACCTGGTCGGCGAACGGGACGCTCCTGATACTTAGGTTTGGAGAGCAGGAGTCGCCAAATTCGAAAAAGCTAGGGGGGGGGGCTCTACCGAAACAAAAATGTTGGAGGAGGCTGATTTCTTGAAGATAAAGGATTAGTGCTGCATTAAGGTAAAAAAAAACAAACTGAAGACGGCATACAAGCAAGAAGGCCAAGGACAACAATCAGAAGAGCGGGAGGAACGGTTATTCAAACTGCAGTCATGGCCGATTCACCGGACAGGATTTTTACAAAACCGGTTATCAAAAGTCTGGTATGAACGCTAAGGGTTTTAGCCGGGTTTTTGAAAAACCGGTTGAAACCGCTAAATATAAGTCTGGTATGAACAGGGTCTAAAGCTTATACTTTTTATAGGTATCTACCAGACTTCCTGAACTGAGTTGAAAAGATGTAGAAATTGACCCAAATAGGGTTGATAAATGGTAAGGGAACTAATCACCTTGCCTTGCCTCTAAGACTAAGTAAGGGAAGACGTGTCCATTCTGTGAACAAGGTATACAGAGTCAGCCAAGAATTTGGGCCAATTCATTCTAGTGATGGAGATAAAGTTTAGTTTTGTCTTCATAATGACTTGTACCAACACAGATGAACTTTCATGCTGCAGTGAGTCACCTCCAATTGAGATGTTTGAGTCCAGAGGCAAAAATGGATACCAGGAAGGACATTGTATAGTGAATCTAAGAGGTATAATGTCCTCTTTACCAGGTTATAGTGTCAAGCCCTCACACCTCTGTTGAATCAAAAGCCCAACCTGCCCCCCACAGACACCCATTATGTTCTGACACCTTCCTAAGCCTTACCCATATTATCACTAATGCTAGAGTTGACAGACTTGAGCATGTGCAACTTCCTCAAACAAACACAGAGGTGTTGGTATTTGGGGACTCCTCCCCCTATTGACACAGGGGTAGGGGGAACCCATAGGAGGGGCTTAGCCTGTATAAATGGGTGGTCAAGTCCAGTTTT